GAATTTTTATTTATTTTTTTTCTATAATTGTAATGGTGATTAGCGACTTATAGTGGGACTGATGTGACACGAACTGACTCTGTCTGGGAGGTACGTTAACTGGCACTGACATCACCAGTGACAGTAATACAGTGATCTGATATCTGATTGTTCCTTCAAACAGACTGGTCCCTGTGTTATTTGTTGCAGTGCTCTGGGCAGTGATTGGATAGCAGGTCTCAATCAGCCTGTTGACAAAATCTCACTGTATCCAATCAGTGGGGGTAGGGTGCACCCATACCCTGAGCCCTGTTGGCAAGTGGTTAAAAAAGAATTTCAGGCATGAATGTTTTACCCCATTACATTCTTTGAACTGTGCCCATGCTGATTGGCCAACCTTCAGTGTTCAGAATGCAGCAGTGCAGCTGCTTGGCACGCTATTTGGACGTCAATAGAGATCACCAGTGTATGGTATAGGTATAGTTACATTGGTTCAGGCTGGAACAAGGTAACTATGTAAGAAAAAAAAAATATCTATCATATATTTATATATCTAGTCTCCTTACCTGGAATTCTTCATTAAGGGAGAGATCCAGAAATGAAACTATAAATTAGAACTGAAGGCAAAAACATTTTTTTTTTTCCAATTTTGGATAGTCTAAAGGAAGGTCCTGTCAGGGATTTTTTTTCACATGTGTCCCCTTGGGGAGATTTCCTTTCACGTCCTGTCCCATAGCTACAACAGGAAGTGAGTAAATCTCTCCAAAGCAAGGGAAATCTATGGCAGTATCCAGGGTCACCAAGGTAAGTGTCCATGTTGGATGATTTCCTCTCTTGTCTTGTTCTGATGACCACTCAAACTGTAGGATTTTCTTTTACTTTAACTGATAACGGTTACCAGGACAAATAGAGAGATAATGACTCTCCCTAAGGGTGACACACATCAATAAAAACCCAACAAGGGCTCTAATCCCTCTCCAATCTATCCAAAACTTAAAAATAAAGTTTTGCCTCCAGTTATACTTTAAACGCTTTACTTTGGGCCAGCTTGGATCAAAAACATTATCCTGTTGTCACCCCCATACGACTGTATTAAACCTCTGTTTAACAAACATAGAGTGTTAGTTGCTCTGGCACCTCCACCTCCAGGAGAATCCCATTTATTTTTTCAATGCATACAAAGTGTCCTCTGGTTGTCCAAGCGGGAAATTGTGACGTCATCAGCCCCTCTATCTTGACCAATCAGAGAACGCCTTGTATTCACTGAAAAAAATACAAGGCTTCTCTTGAATGGTAAATGTGCAGGAAAGCGACGCTGTATATTTAGTGCACACAAATGAAGTAGCTTGTTCACCCACTGGAAGAGGGCTCCACTTACTGTATATATAGCATAGGCTACAACAGAGAATTACAGCTTCACCATCAGCCACACAGTGGAGGCATCTGGGTAATTCAAATGAGCCAAGCTTTTAAAGTAATTACATTTCTGAAGGTCTTTTTTTTTAACCCCTTCCCACCTGACCACTATATAAATGGCCAGGTGGGACTAGCACCGCTGTGATTGGACATACCCTGTACATCCTTCCACTCCACGTGCTGCTGCATGGCTCCACAGCATGGAGATTCTGTGATGGCTGTGTCCCTTGGAAACAGCACCACACAGATCGAGATATGGGCTCTCTGATTGGCCCTCCCAGTTATGGTGATGGCTGTGTCCAATCATCCATCCAAACATCTGTCACATTATACCATGTGTCCCTTTAACATCTGCAATAGTGTCCCATTTCAACATCTGTCGGTATCCCTCCGTCACCACTCCAGGATCTCTATCCCACCAGAGATCCCTGAACTGAAGCTGATGGTTCTGCTGGCTTACCATAGAGGCCACAGAGGACCGGCAGGCAATTTTATTTTCTTCATTTTCCAAAGAACTGTGGGAAAAATTTTACTTAAAAAAACTCACCTTGCCTCTTACTAAATACCCTGGACTATTCACTTTCCAAAAAGAGGTCATTTGGGGGGTATTTATGCTGTCCTGTTACCTATTTGCAAAATTAGCAGAAACTAAGAAAAAACTTTTTTTTTTTTTTTTGTTTATAGTGCAAAAAATAAAAAACCTAGTGGTGAATAAATACCACCAAATTCGTTTGGAAAAAAAAAAAACAAAATACCCATTTAATTTGGGTACCATGTTGCCAGATCATTACAATTATAGCAGACCATCTTAAATTTTGAGTTAAGCTCCCGGACATTCCAGGAGAGGGAGGTTATGGTTTCACATTTAGGGTGCACCATATTGGAGGGCACAAGTGGTAGTAAGGGGGCAGGGCCCACTGAACAACAGCATTGAGTGAACAGCAAGAAAACATGAGCCAGCATGTGAAAAACCATTAACCACTTCCTGTCCACCTTATAGCAGAAATACTGTTACAGGGCGTCATGGGTGCCCAAAATCACGTATATATTTACGTGATTTTTTTCAGTTCCAGGTAGGGGGTGTGTGCGAGCCATTCAAAGCAGTGTGCTTACAGTTAAAAGCGCACACAGCACATAATGTGAAACAGCACACAGTTAACCCTTTGATATCCCCATGTTACCCCTTCCTGCCCATTGCCATTAGTACAGTGTCAGTGCTTTTTATTAGCATTGATCACTGTATGGTGTCACTGGGGATGTCATTGACACCAAGTCAGTTCCCCCCAGTGTCAGAATTCCGCTGCAGTCCCGCTATAAGTCGCTGATCGCCGCCATTACTAGTTAAAAACAATTCCAGTGTATATATACCGCCATTTGTAGATGCTATAAATTTACATAAAAAGATTAATTGACATGCATTGGGATTTTCTTTAGCAAAGACATGTAGCAGAGAACACATTTTGCTCAAAATTTGACGAAATTTGATTTCGGACATGTTTTTTTTACTGGACATGTTTAATAGCAAAAAGTCAAAGATATTGTTTTTTTTTTTCTCAAAATTGTTAGTGTTTTTTTTGTTTATAGCACAAAAAGTAAACACACAAATACCACCAAATGAAAGCTCCATTTGTGGGCAAAAAAAGGACATACCGTATTTGCCGGCGTATAAGACGACTGGGCGTATAAGACGACCCCCCTACTTTTCCTGCTAAAATGTAGTGTTTGGGCTATACTCGCCGTATAAGACTACCCCTCTTCCAATGCACACCAGTGGGAGGAATAGTGCCCCATCATTGATGTCAGTGGGAGGAATAGTGCCCCATCATTGGTGTCAGTGGGAGGAATAGTGCCCCATCATTGATGTCAGTGGGAGGAATAGTGCCCCATCATTGGTATCAGTGGGAGGAATAGTGCCCCATCATTGGTATCAGTGGGGGGAATAGGTGCCCCATCATTGGTATCAGTGGCAGGAATGGTGCCCCATCATTGGCATCAGTGGGAGGAATAGTGCCCCATCATTGGTATCAGTGGGGGGGAATAGGTGCCCCATCATTGGTATCAGTGGGAGGAATAGTGCCCCATCATTGGTATCAGTGGCAGGAATAGTGCCCCATCATTGGTGTCAGTGGGAGGAATGGTGTCCCATCATTGGTGTCAGTGAGGGGTGGAATAGTGCCCCATCATTGGTGTCAGTGGGGGGAGGAATAGTGCCCCATCGTTGGTGTCAGTGGGGGGGGGGGGAATAGTGCCCCATCGTTGGTGTCAGTGGGGGGGAGGAATAGTGCCCCATCGTTGGTGTCAGTGGGAGGAATAGTGCCCCATCGTTGGTATCAGTGGGAGGAATAGTGCCCCATCATTGGTATCAGTGACACCAATGATGGGGCACTATTCCTCCCACTGAGACTTGCTGACCCTGTTCTCGTATGGTGCTGCTGCAGCCAGCATATGTGGTTGCAGCAGCACCTCTACACAGAGCACTTACCTGCTGCTCCGGCACTCAATTTTCGCGGGGCCCGCTCGGCTCCGCCCCCTCGCCGGTGATTGGCCGCCTGTGTGCCTTTCCTGAGCTACAGTTCTGGCGGCCAATCACCGGTGAGGAGGCGGAGCCGCGCAGCCGCACGAACATCCAGTGGCCGAACTGAAGGAGACGCCGCGCTTCCTGGACCGGATCGTCGTGGGACTGGATCCAGGTAAGAGACGTCAGCCCCTGCAAACCCCTGTACTTAATGCCGCAGCCCCCCTAACATGTGTACCGGCGTATAAGACGACCCCCGACTTTTGAGAAGATTTTCAAGGGTCAAAAAGTCGTCTTATACGCCGGCAAATACGGTAAATTTAATTTGGGTGCAGCGTTGCATGACCGCGCAATTGTCAGTTAAAGTAACACAGCTACGAGAGCAGTTGTGCAGCCTCTGCCAGTAACAAAGTGCAGTTCTCATTGAACTGCAAAAGAGTTCAAGTGTCCATCCGTATCAGGGAGAAAAGGGAGGGATAAAAAAAGGCAGTGTGGGGGGGAGGTAATGGTTCACAGAGAGGGAATAAGCTGTTCAGTAGGGTGCCAGAATACAACTGCAGAGAGAAAAAGAAATGGCAGTATCAGTATGGGGCAGTCAAAATAAACGATAGGGCATCGTAGCTTCATTTGTGGGGCTTCATGATGGACAGCATACTAAGTTCAAAACCAGCTTTTAAGGGCTTCTGATGAATCCTTTTTTCAGGGCCCAGCTCTGGGAAACAATGTGGAAATGGGCTGTGGAATAAAATGAATGTTTGGCTTTTACCTTGTTTTTTGTAAGCAGCTTTTCTTCTGCTAGGAGAAAAGGTGTTCAGGGGAGCTCAGCAAATGCTCAGTGTTCATGAGGCCTTATACTGTCCTTCACTGAATGTATCTGACATTATTGTTGCTTATGAAGTGGCAGAAATGTAAACTTGGAACATTTGCATTTAATGTTATTAAAATTGTTGCGAATTCTCAAATGATTGGGAATTTTTGTTTTCTCAAGCTAATTTTGTTATTTCTGTTGCTCATATATAATAGCTGTCAACCATTCTACTTTAGGCTGTGAATTCAAAGGTTGTACCCTACTATCTCTATACAAGGAAACATGGCTGCACACTTGTTGGGCTCTCGGCCACGAACGGAAGATGTGCTACAAGCTACAGGGGAGGCTCAGGATTTTAAAACTCTACTATTGTCAAGGCCTGTACTTGAAGGCTTGGAGGCTGCAGGATTTACAAAACCATCTCCAGTACAGAGCAAGGCTATACCACTTGGGAGATGTGGACTGGGTGAGTTGGTAAATTAAAGCTTTGAGGTATACAAATATCGCTCAGTTTTCATTGAAATAAATGGTCAAAACAATTACCATCCATTGTTAATTCCATTTTAATACAAATTATACTTTGCTGAATAAACTGAATATTTTAAATAAGTAAAATTGGCATGAACAAAAATGATGTGACTCTTACCCTAATCCAACAAATCTCTGCAAATAAACAATATTTGTGGCTGTCAGTGAGATTTATATACCTGCCAACTGACAGTTTGGTCCACTCTTTGTGAGCAAGCTACTCCAGCTATCTTGGGCCCTTTTCCTGTGGCAAGAATTTGCACAGCTGACTGCGACCAGGTTCAGACATCTGTCCCAAACCGCAGCTATTCTCTCTCTGTGTGGCTTCATGCGATCAGCTGCTGTCAACCCCCGCCATTAGTTTAACCACTTGCCCTCCAGAGGATTTACCCCCCTTCCTGACCAGGCCACTTTTTTGCGTTACAGCGCTGCGTTACTTTAACTGACAACTGCGCGGCCAGGCATCGCTGCACCCAAACTAAATTTACATCCTTCTTTCCCCACAAATAGAGCTTTCTTTTGGTGGTATTTGATTGCCTGTGCATTTTTTATTTTTTTTTACCATACAAAAAAAAAAAAACAACTTTGAGAAAAATAAAATATTTTTCACTTTTTTGCTATTAAACATGTCCAGTAAAAATTAAAAAAATCTAATTTCATCTTACATTTAGGCCAAAATGTATTCTGCTACATGTCTTTGTTAAAAAAAAAATCCCAATACGTGTAAATTAATTGGTTTACATGAAAGTTATAGCGGTTACTAATGGTGGAATATATAATGGGCTTTTTTTTTACTTTTAATTTTTACTAGTAATGGCGGTGATCAGCGACTTATAGCGGGGGGACTGTGGCGGGCATTCTGACACTGGGGAGAACTGTCTTGGTGTCATTGACATCCACAGTGACCAGTGCTAATAAAAAGCACTGACACTGTACTAATGGCACTGGGCAGGAATCAGTTAACGTGGGGCAATTAAAGGGTTAACTGTGTGCTGAGTGTGTTTTACTATGGGGCTGTGTCTGTGTGGTTCACTGTAAGCACACTGCTTTGCATGTGCACGAACTGACAGGGAGAACTGTATTGTTTACATACAGTTCTCCCCCCTGTCAGAGATCCTCGGCAATTACCGGCCGGGACCAGTGATTGACTGCCGCAAATGGCACTGGTAGGGCGCACGCCCCCTATCCGGAAATACAAAATCACTTTTATCAACGTAATTTTGCGCACCTGTGCCGCCCTGTAGCAGTATATCTGCTATAGGGTGGACGGGAAGCGGTTAAAGGATAAGTTCACCTTTTTATACAAAAATAATGCACTTTCTTTGCAGGTTAAAAGATGTGTATTTGCTATTTTTTGTCACAGGAGCCTCTGAAGCGTTGCACCAGCAATCAGAAGATTGCTGGTACCATGCAACTCTCCTGCAGATCTGTCAGTATATACAGTGCCTTGAAAAAGTATTCATACCCCTTGAAATTTTCCACATTTTGCCATGTTACAACCAAAAACATAAATGTATTTTATTATGGTTTTTATTTTAAGGAAAATGATAAATGGTTTTCAAAAGTTTTTACAAATATCTGTAGCTCTGGCTGTGTGTTTAGGTTCCTGCTGGAGGTTAACCTCTGCCCCAGTCTCAAGTCTTTGCAGACTTTCAGGTTTTCTTCTAAGATTGCCTGTATTTGGCTACATCTATCTTCCTATCAACTCTGACCAGCTTCCCTGTCCCTGCTGAAGAAAAGCATCCCCACAACATGATGCTGCCACCATCATGTTTCACGGTGGGGATGGTGTGTTCAGAGTGATGTGCAGTGTTAGTTTTCCGCAACACATAGTGTTTTGCTTTTAAGAAAAAAAAATTCAATTTTGGCCAAAAATTCCATTTTGGTCTCATCTGACCAGAGAACCTTCTTCCACATGTTTGCTGTGTCCCCCACATGGCTTCTCACAAACTGCAAATGGGACTTCTTATGGCTTTCTTTCAACAATGGCTTTCTTCTTGCCACTCTTCCATAAAGGCCAGATTTGTGGAGTGCATGACTAATAGTTGTCCTGTGGACAGATTCTCCCACCTGAGCTGTGGATCTCTGCAGCTCTTCCAGAGTTACCATGGGCCTCTTGTCTGTTTCTTTGATTAATGCTCTCCTTGCCTGTCAGTTTATGATATCAGTTTATGGACAACCATATCTTGGTAGGTTTGCAGTTGTGCCATACTCTTTCCATTTTCGGATGGTGGATTGAACAGTGCTCCGTGAGATGTTCAAATCTTGGGATATTTTTTTATAACCTAACCCTGCTTTAAACTTCACAACTTTTTGTCTGACCTATCTGGTGTGTTCCTTGACCTTGCTGTAATGTTCTTTAACAAGCCTCCAAGGACTTCACACAACAGCTGCATTTATACTGAGATTATATTACACACTGGTGGGACCCTATTTACTAATTAGGTGACTTGTGAAGGCAGTTGGTTCCTCTAGATTTTAGTTAGGGGTATCCGAGTAAAGGGGGTTAAAATAAAAATGCACGCCACACTTTTCGATATTTGTAAAAAATTTGGAAAGCCATTTATCATTTTCCTTCCACTTCACAATCATGTGCCACTTTGTGTTGGTCTTTCACAAAAAAAATCCCAATAAAATACATTTACGTTTTTTGTTGTAACATGACAAAATGTGGAAATTTTCAAGGGGTATGAATACTTTTTCAAGGCACTGTATCTGCTTGCTCGTACAGAAGACTTAATGAACTGCCACTGTGCTCCACAGTGTCATGGTAGTTCATTTAAAACTACAAGCCGGCAGCCGGTGAGGCTGTTGGCCCTTGTAGTTTCTCATTCACAGAACACAGTGAATGAGTGATGCGGCTGGGCTTCTCCCTGGTAGCTAGCAAGGGGGGAGAAGATCCCCTGCTAGCTGTCAAAGCAGGGGCTGGTGCTTTCATAACATGTGACATGTTACACCCTGAGTATGGGTGTAACATGTTATGAAAGGTGAACTTATCCTTTAAATTGCCTGAGTAGCCTCTGCAAATTGTATAACCTGGTCATTCAACCAGCAAGAATTTGCAGATTTTTGCCACAGGAATCCAAGCGGCTGCAGCAAACTGACTGAACGAGACCTTAGCTTTTAGTAGGATTCAGATTTGGGCTCTTAAAAGGCCACTTTAATATAGAACAATGTTTTGTTATTAGTCATTTTTGGGTGCTTTTAGCTGTTTGTTTTGGGTCATTGACCTCTTGAAGGACCTGCAGTTTGTCCAATTATTTATAAAGTTTTATAGGGGTACTGACAAATCTGTCCAGGCCATTTTACAAGATTTGTATACAGTAAGCAATAATTTATCTCTTCACATTTTGTCTGCTTCACTCTGATATACCAAAAGACAGGTTTGCTCAAGACCATTGCATTTAATTTCACCTCGTTTCAGGTGGAATGTGGTGTAGTATCAAAAAATGTATCCATGTCTGTTTTAAAGGCTTTGTGAGTATCTAAAACTACATTTTGCACATTGCCTTCCAGTTATAGTTCATCAGTAAACAATAGCTTGGGGAAGACTTGGGTAGAATATAGGCAACTGTTTAAATACCAACAGCAGCTCTTGCCTGCATTTCATTGAAGCCTGTGCGCCCTTAAGTACTCATGTGGTTTAAGTACTTTTGCTTAAAACAGTTTTTATATCTCACAGGTATTTTTTTAATTTTTTTTTTTGTTAACTCCTTCCCGTCTGGCCTATTGTAAGATGACAGCCGAGCGAGGTCTCTATTATCCTGGGAGGATGTCATATGACATCCTTCCAGGATCGCTCCTCATGCTCGCCCCATGGCCGGTGCTCCGGTGCAATCAGTCACTTGCTGTGTCCTCCGGACACAGCCGGTCACAGATCACTACATCAGCCCACTGCCAGTGTCATGTGATCACTGTGACCAGTCACAGCCGATCACATGACAGTTGTAAACAATGAACAGCTTCCTTTCATGCCATTAATTTCTTAAAACTGTGCTGCTAGCTGTGATTGGCACAGTCTGTACATGTGATCAATGTGACCAATCACAGCCCATCTGTAGTATGTGATCAGCTGTGGAAAATCACAGCTGATCACAACAACAAAAACTACTGAAATAATTGGTTTCATTCTGTAAAATTCTTGCATAATGTGTAAAAAAACAAAAACAAAAAAAAAACACCAAAACAAAATGATCACTTGCCTAGAGTAGTACAATGTTGCTGTGGTAACATTGTATTGCTCTGATAACAGGAGTAGTAAAAAAAGTTTGTAAAAATTTGCATTATTATTACTTTTACATACTGTCCCCAGTCAGTGTCCCTGATCGCCGCTGCACCAGTTATTTTTATTTTTTCATTTGTCATTTTTTCATCATGTCAAACAAAACACATCATGTCTCTTACAAAATACCTCTACTGTCTACTTTCCGAAAAGTGGTAATTTGGGGTGGGAATATTTGTACTATCCTGGCGTTTTTGGGCTTTAATAAATTGGATTGGCCATCAGTATGTCAGGATTTATAGATAAATATAATTTGTAGTAGTGATGCACCAAAATGAAAATTCTGGTGCCAAAATCGAAAATTCAGGATGAACTGGATGAAATGGACAGTTTATTTCTTCAAAATTAATATATTTTTCAAATACAATTTCTCGGGGGAACAAAAATACACTTTTTTAATGATTTAAAAAAAAAAAAAAAACTATATATATACCCAATTTTTTTTGTAAAATATGATGTTATGCCGAGTAACTAGATACCCAACATGTCACGCTTTTAAAATTGTGCGCACTCGTGGAATGGCGTCTTACAACGGTGCTTAACCATTTGCCACCCGCTCTATGGCCAAATGGTGGCCGGCAAATGTCATCAGCGTTCCGGTTGGACGCCATATGGCGTCCTCCCGCACATGCGCAGATTGCGCTCCTGCAGAGCTTTGCAGATTTTTTGCTATAAGCAAATTGTGTAAAAAAAAAAAAAAAATCTGATCACTTCCCCGAAGTAGTACAATGTTACTATGGTAACATTGTACTACTTTGGTCATAGTGAAATATGAAAAAAAATCTTAAAAAAATAAAAAAATATATATTTTTTTTTTCATACTGTCACCAGCCAGTGTTCCTGATCACCGCCATGCCAGGTATATGATGACACTGTACTGCACTGGTGACAATATGTAAAAAAAAAATAGTGAAACTAATTTTTTTAATTGTCCGAAAACTTATGACAAAAAAAATACAACTTCAAAAAGCTCGCCATGCCTCTTATGAAGTACGTCGGACTGTCTACTTTGCACAAAAAGGGGTCATTTGGGGGATATCTGTACTGTTCTGACATTCTTGGACCTCAAGAAATTAGATTGGCTGTCAGTACTTCAGGATCGATCAATATTCAGATCTATCCCATAGTTTGTGAACTCTATAACTTTCCTACAAACTCAAAAATACATCCTAATATGGCTTATTTTCACCAAAGACATGTAGCAGAATACATCTTGGCCTAAATTTATGAAGAACAATTATTTATTTGCAAAATTTTATAACAGAAACAAAGAAAAAAAACGTGTTTTTTTTTTTCAAAATTTTTGGACTTTTTTTGTTAATTTAGCAAAAAATAAAAACCCCAATGGTGATTAAATACCACCAAAAGAAAGCCCTAGTTGTGTGAAGAAAATGATAAAATTTTAGTTTGGGTAGAATGTTGTATGACTGCGCAATTGTCATTCAAATTGTGAGAGCGCTGAAAACTGGCCTGGGCAGGAAGGTGTAAAATTGCCCGGTATTGAATTGGTTAAAAATCTTCATGAGTGACTCTTTAAAATTTTCTACACTTACTAGCGTAAAGTTACACAGGAGGCCTAGTGCGAGAATTATTGCTCTTTCTCTGATGTTCGCGGCGATACCTCACGTGTGGTTTGAACACCATTTACATATGTGGACGTGGTCTCCATATGCATTCACCACTACATGCGAGCATGGGGGGATGGGGGGGCACTTTAAACTTTATTTTTATTTTTTTACACTGTCCCTTTTAAAAAAAAAAAAAATGTAATCGCTTTTATTCCCATCACAAGGAATGCATGCATCCCTTGTGATTAGAAATAAGTAATGCATGCATCCCTATGCCCAGCACCGGGATTGTTCGGTGGTTTCTCAGGTAAGGCTGAGAACCACCAAGTGGGTGGAGGTGGGTGAGGGGCAGAGTTTTTTTCGGCACCTGTATCAGTGCTTATTTTCATATTGGCCAAAGGCCGATAGGGTAGTTTTCGGCTGAAACGTTTTGGCCACTGAAATTTCAGTGCACCCCTCGTTTATAGACTCTATAACTTTCCTACCAACTAAATAATAAACACTGATTTGGGTTAGTTTCACCAAAGAAATGCAGCAGAATACAGTTTGGCCTAAATTTGTGTGGAAAGATTTGCAAAATTGTATAACAGAAACGAAGAAAAATGCATTTTTTTTTTAATTTTCAGTCTTTTTCATTTATAGTGCAAAAAAAAAAAAATCTTGTGTGGAAAAAATATATAATACATTTTATAAGGGTGCAGTGTTGCATGACCACACAATTGTCATTCAAAGTGCAAAAGCAAAGAAAATTGGCCTGGGCAGGAATGGGGTAAAAGTGCCTAGTAGGGGCATTGTGGCAATGCCTGTCAGCCTTCATTGATTTGGACAGACTTCTTCTCTTGGTTTTTCGCAGACTCACTGTGTTCATGCCCACCAACAAGAGTCAATGATTTTCAGCAGCATCCGTGCCAGATCACTCATCTTGAGTGAGCCCTTAATCTGAATTGTATAACTGATATTAACTGCTTTTTTCTTTTTGTTTACTAAATTGTAGATTTAATAGTACAGGCCAAGTCAGGAACAGGAAAAACATGCGTCTTTTCAACGGTGGCTTTAGATTCTCTGATTCTGGAAAACACTGCTACACAGGTATTTTGCCTGCATCTCTGTTTTATATGTTGTATGTTGCTTTGTATCAGTATCTACATTACATTTATTTAATAAAAATGTTCTTTGTTTTTAGATCTTGATTTTGGCCCCTACAAGGGAAATTGCAGTCCAGATCCATTCAGTGATTATTACTATAGGTAGCCGCATGGAAGGACTGGAGTGTCATGTCTGTATAGGAGGGACTCCACTGCCTCAGGACAAAACAAAGCTGAAGAAGTGCCACATAGCTGTAGGCTCCCCTGGTATTGATTTCTTAAAATATTCTAAATGGTACTTTGGATGTATCTAGTTGTGTTTGCATGTCTGAAATGCTTTATCCACACAATCTCTCCCCTGTCATTTTTATTTTAATTATTTTCTTCATCAATCAAATCAGCATATTGTGGATCGTGGCTTAGTGGTTAGCACTTGCCTTGCAGCACTGGGCATCTTGGTCCCCTTCAGGACACTGTACCCACATAGAGAGTTTGCACATGCTTTCTGTGCTTGCATGGGCTTTCCTTGGGGGCTCCAATCTCATCCTACAAACCCAACATGCTGCTAGGTAAATTGACTCCTGTCTCAGTTGGCCCCATATTCTGCTTAGTGTGCCCAAGATGGCAGTGTAACCATCTTGACAAATATCAGATAAAGTGCTTTGAGTCCCCATGTAGAAAAGCGCTATAGAAATATAAATTATTTTTAAAAATCCTTTGACTTTGTTGGCCTAGTGCAGATAACAGTTCAGAGGCTGCATGTAACTTGCTTTGCATTGATTTTTTTTTCTCAAATGCCTTGTGTTGCATTGTGTTGTGTTTTGAACTGAAGGCAAAGCAGGACAAACTCAGCTTTTTCCTTTTCAAATGCTTGCACTAAGCAGCACCATGTATGAATGGAAAAGGTTGCGTTTTACAAGAATGCCCATCTATATGAGCAATTACAGTGCTGCTTTGTAGACATAAATGTCTAGAAGAAACACTTTTAAACCCCTTGTTCACCTACCCTTAAATGGTGGGGCATTTTAAATCAATATTAAATGCACATTGACCAAATACAGTGCCTTTTAAAAAGTATTTATACCCCTCGAAAGTTTACACATTTTCTCATGTTACAACCAAACACATAAATGTATTTTTTGGAGATTTTATGTGATAGACCAACACAAAATGGCACATAATTGTGAAGTGGAAGGAAAATGATAAATGGTTTTCAAATTTTTTTACAAATATATGAAAAGCGTGGAGTGCATTTGTATTCAGCCCCCCCTGAGTCAATACTTTGTAGGACCACCTTTCACTGCAATTCCAGCTGCAAGTCTTTTTGAGTATGTCTCTACCAGTTTTGCACATCTAGATAGTGACATTTTTGCTCATTCTTCTTTGCAAAATAACTCAAGCTGTGTCAGATTGGATGGAGAGCGTCTGTGAACAGCAATTTTCAAGTCTTGCCACAGATTCTCAATTGGATTTAGGTCTGGACTTTGACTGTCCCATTCTAACACATGAATATGCTTTGATCTAAACCATTCCATTGTAGCTCTGGCTGTATGTTTAGGGTCATTGTCCTGCTGGAAGGTGAACCTCCACCCCAGTCTCAAGTCTTTTGCAGACTCTTAACAGATTTTCTTCTAAAATTGCACTGTATTTGGCTCCATCCATCTTCCTATCAATTCTGACCAGCTTTCTTGTCCCTGCTGGTGTGTGCAGGCTGATGTGTATAATTAGTTTTTTGCCACACATAGCGTTTTGCTTTTAGGCCAAAAAATTCCATTTTGGTCTCATCTGACCAGAGCACCTTTTTCCACATGTTTGCTGTGTCCTCCGCATAGCTTCTCGCAAACTGGACGTCTTATGGCTTTCTTTCAACAATTGCTTTCTTCTTGCCACTGTTCCATAAAGGCCAGATTTGTGGAGTACACTAATAGTTGTCCTATGGACATATTCTCTCATCTGAGCTGTGGATCTCTGCAGCTCCTTCAGAGCTACCTCTTGGCTGCTTCTCTGATTAGTGCTCTCCTTGCCCGGCCTGTCAGTTTAGGACAGCCATGTCTTGGTAGGTTTGCAGTTGTTCCATACTCTTTTTCCATTTTTGGATGATGAATTGAACAGTGCTCGGTGAGATGTTCAAAGCTTGAGATTTTTTTTCGTAACCTAACCCTGCTTTAAGCTTCTCCACAACTTTATCCCTGACCTGTCTGGTGTGTTCCTTGGCCTTCATGATGCTGTTTATTCACTAATGTTCTCTAACAAAGCTATGAGGGCTTCATAGAACAGCTTTAGCATTTATACTGAGATTAAATTACACACAGATGGATTATTTCCTATTTAGGTGACTTCTGAAGGCAATTGGTTCCACTAGATTTTAGTTAGGAGTATCCAGAGTAAAGGGGGCTGAATACAAATGCACACCACACTTTACAGATATTTATGTGAAAAAAATGTGGAAAACCATTTATCATTTTCCTTCCACCTCACAATTATATGCCACTTTGTGTTGGTCTATTACATAAAATCCCAATAAAATACATTTGCGTTTTTGGCTGTAACATGACAAAAATATGTAAACTTTTGAGGGGTAGAAATACTTTTTCAAGGCACTGTATTTAGTGTAGATGAAAGTAATAGGGTGTCTTTTAAATCACATGAATAAGCTTTGGTGTATAGTTTTAGTGTCAAACGTAAAGGATAAGGAGCCGGTGAAGGAAAAACAGAAGTACATTGGTCTTCCCAGTGAGGATGGGAGGGTGTCAGGACAGGTCTGACCGTTGGAGGAGAGCAGGCTGAATTCCCAGCGCAGCTAGAGAACTGACCACACTGCGCTCTCCTGCCTAGTGTGGTCAGTTTTTTAATAAGAAAGCAGAGGGACTGACAGGAACACAAGTGATTTCACACAAAGGAAGCAATACAAAGAGATCAGGAAACTTTTACAAGTACATGGTACAGCAGGCACAGATCATGAGTATGAATTGTGTTTACATATTTTTTAAGCATAGAAAATGAATTGGTTTTTGTAAATTCCTCTTCGAATTTAAAGTGAATTTGTTACATATTAAATTAGGTATTGATTTTTTTCAACTTGTGACTCCTCTTGAGAGCAATACAAATGTTTTGTTCATTGAATTTCCTCTAAATTTGTTGTCATTTTTGTGTATAAGAATTGTGGAATGTGTTCATTGATAACTGACTTGGCTTATGCAATTGCTTCAGTTTAATTCCCTAAGAATAAAAGTCAACTTTATGCTGGAAATAGGGTCTTACATGAAAGTGTCCTTTTCTTTTTCTTGTTGCAGGCAGAATAAAGCAATTGATAGAAATTGGCTACCTTAACACAGCCAGCATTCGCCTTTTCATTCTTGATGAAGCGGATAAACTTCTAGAAGAAGGGAGCTTCCAGGAACAAATTAAGTAGGAACTGTACAATTAATAAATTTGCGTTTAACATACAAGTGAAAATTTTTTTTTCATTAATGTTTTGTTTTATCAGCTGGATTTATTCATCTCTTCCGGCTAACAAGCAAATGCTGGCGGTTTCAGCTACATACCCAGAATCCTTAGCAAGAGCACTGACAACATATATGCGAGAGCCAATCTTTGTCAGGTTGAATGCAACTGACCCTAGTCTTCTTGGTACGTTAAATAACAAATACTGAAATGAAACTAACTTGTATTTGAGTCTGATTTTTGTTCTTTATTGCTTTGGTTTAGGGTTAAAGCAATATTATAAGGTGGTAAATTCACACCCACTGCCACACAAAGACTTTTGAAGAGAAAGTACAACATTTGCAAGAACTATTCAGCAGAATTTCTTTTAACCAAGCTTTAGTGTTCTCTAATCTTCATATAGCAGGTAATTTTTCATGTTTTCTCTTTATTAATATTGGTGAACAAGACACTGCGTAGTAAAGCATTAAGATAAGATGTCCTTTTTGTGGCACTGTCGGACTGAGAGATGAAGCAGCGCGCTCTGTCAGTCATGCGCTACTGCAACACTGGAAACTTCCTAATGAGAGAAAGCAGAGAGTGAACTGCTGTTCGGAAATACATTGTAGTCTGCACTGCAGTGTAGTTAGGGACATTTGGACCTGGCTTTGCAGTGTGGCAGTGGTGTCTGGGTAATAAGACTATCCGAAAAGTATAAAATCTTTTGACAGGTAAGATGATTCATATATACATATGTATTTCAACTGTGTACATAAATGTTTACCTTGGAGTTGCCACATATATTCATTGAACTTTCTCTTGTTCATTGAAGGATAAAGGAATTAAACAGTTGAGTTATAATATTGCTACTGGAGGTCGGAGTGCTGGCAAACAGAAAAGCCAGCCCCATAGACCCCCTCTTCTACCCAATATGTCTGTTTTTTTTTTTTGTTTTTGTTTTTTTTTGCTAGTGTCCTAGGAAGTTGGATGCTTTTCCTAACTTTGTGGGATTTTTCTTCAGCAACTCCATACAAAATCCCTACACAGCTGCATAGCTGGTCTCTATATAGCTGCTATTCATATCGGCTTTTCCTCAAAGCATTAGCTTTGGATTCTGTGCCCAATCCCACTGAACTAAATGTGCAGTGGTAGCCTGGAATGTTATCTTCAAGTATTGGGCTCTGAATTGTGGCACTTTGCCTCCCCTTGTATACATTATTTATCCATTAATCACTTTTCAGGAACAGTTACACAGCCCTATGTGTCTCTGAAGACTCAATGAGTAAGGCTGGTTGGGTTGATGCACCAGAAGCTACCTTTCTGTTTGCACCTCTGGGACCCTTTCAAGTTTCCAGGCACTGTTGGTTTTAACTGACGTAATCCACTAGGTGCAGCACCACTTGGATATCTGATCTTGGTCCACTGCCTGCCTACAATGATTGTTCATCTTTAGTCTCCTGAACCTGATGGCACTAGCTGCTCCCAGGTTTGTGAGCACTTGAGGCCTTGCCTCATATTGGGCCTATTTTTTTACCACAACAGTGTAACATGTCTTCTCAAAGACACAATGGGCAGCCCCTCTGCTATGGATGGATGATCTCCTCTCCTACTACCCTAGTGGTTCTGGAAAAATGTATCCAGTATCCTCAGAAGTAACCCAAACCTGTATTCTGGGACTCCTGTTATTGGGTTGTCATCCAAACCTGTAGTTACGTCAAACAGGGCTGAGGCCTTCTCCATGTCCACTTTGGACCTTGTCTGTACCCAGTTATTAGAGCAGCCTGCGTGCAGAGGCTTTAAGCAAGCCATCTCTGGCAGAGTCGCTGACCTCCTTGAACCTATGAATCAAACCAAGCTTGTAGCTCCTGTGCCCATTTCTAATTCTATTTCAGAAGGGGACATTTTTGGGTCACTGCTGTCTCCTGTAATCGACATCAATACATAGTGGGTTGTTTCAAACTTTTGATGCAGTGAGTATCACCTTGCCTCTAGAGGATCAGCCTGTTTCAGGCCTTGAGTCTTTTTATCTCCTACAGCTGCAAAGACACTTGTGCTTCCTCTGTGCATGTTGGAAATGCCCCAATGGCTACTGGGCTCTCCTGAAAGTGTGGCAGAGTATTTTACCTTGGGAAGAAATGAGTAAACTGGTGATCGTTGCCCACTTTGGATGCACCTGACAGGAACATAATTACCATCAGAAGGGTTGATGGTATGCTTACCTTTCAGGACTTCAAAGATAGAGTGCCATCTTAGATCCCAGTTTGAATTAACTGGTTTTGTCCTTGACCTGTCAAACTGCTTCCGAATTGGTAGAATCCCTTAAGAGCGATCCTAGAGCAGTTTTAGCAGATGTCTGGAGCTTTGTGCTTCAGTTGTGACAGCTTGTGTTTCGCATGGGACAGGTGTCTGTAGAACTGCCTAGGGCACTCTTAAGCCGCTTTGCTTACCCTTCAAGGAACGTCTCTTCAAACCTGCTTTTGGCAATACCACAGGTGTAAGTAATGTGCATCTGCCTCAATGCTGGAGGTCTGTGATAGAGTCGGAGGAATCTCACCCCTCATTGACTTCAACAGTAACAGTAGAGCCTAGCTGCCACTCAAGTCGGGGCCAAAGCTTTAAAGGTTTACTGTCCCATTGTGACAAGCCTTTTGTAATGAAGTGCACCCCAAATTCTACAAGTAGGGAGCTGTGTGTAAATCGGACTGGTCCTCGAGTGGTTTGCCTCCCCAACATTTGGGATCTCAGGACTTCCCTTTTGCCCCATTGGTTAACCCCCTGCGTGTGGATTCTCCTTCAGTTGGCTTATTGCCATCCCTGTGCAGTTGTACTTGGCAGAGTGTCTTCCTGGGTTCTCTGCTGAAGGACCAGGCCAGTTCCTACTGCTGTGTATATAATGAAAGTCAGCACACCAGAAAGAAAAGTTTAAATTTACGTGTATTTTTTCATGTTCAACGTGGAAGACTTGGTAAAAAGCCACATAAAAAAGATACTATACAGAGTTGTACAAACAAAGCACAAAGATCACCACTCCAGAGGTAAACTTACAGCTAAGCAGAGCATGTTCAAGCACAGTAAGGTTTAGAGAATTGTGCCATAAATGCCAAACATGTATTGTGAAATAAACAAAGTAAAATATAAAAAAGTTACCAATAGTGGACACCAGGTAGCATGAGGTTGGGGGAGGGGAGTACACTGTTTGGGGGTGAAAATGCCTTTATTAAATCCAATTTCCGCCTGTTTTTTGTTTGGCTTTTGAATCTTTATGGGCAAAATGCTGCCCAAATTGCTTTAGCCCCTCCTTGTCCCCCTCACTGATATGACATTACATCCTGTGCCAGGAGCTGCCATGAGTATGATGTCACTTCCTGTCCACACTCATTCCAGTGCAGTATCTCAACTAGGTGTGGCACATGTGGAATATGGAATAATAAAGGCAGAGAAAACTGCAGCCTAGGCGAAGGGGATCTCTCTGCAAGATGCATATTCATCAGGGAGGAGGTCCATAGAGTCAGCACTATAGAAATCTAAAACCGAAAAAAAGCATTTAGCTCAAAAGCCAGGAAAAATTATATAATATATATTGTACAAAAAGGGAATACACAAAACATCATTTCTGTGAATGATCAGTAATAGCCCAAATAATTCCATTAAAATTCAGCGCACATCCAAAAAAAACCTTAAACCATATGAAAGCAAAGATGTTTCCCAAGCACTCTTCTACTGGTGTGCATGTCCTATTGTATATCTTAACTAGTCCCCACTGCTCCCTCCACTAACAAGGACCTGACCACTCAGGCTACTTTATTTCATGACATAGGACTAAATGTCCACCCTAGTGTCCTTTCCATGCACACACCTCTACTGTGCGTTGCTTAGACAACTCTCCTAAAGAGAGTCAGCTTTCTGGACCCTTGTTTTCAGAACGCTTTGCAAGGGCTCAACATCCCTAAGCTTTGGCCAGATGGGGCCTCACAGGTGTCTAGTATTGGTAAACAGTATTTGTGTTCAGGTGAGGCTGTTCATTTTATGCCCTCACTGAGGAAGTCTACATCCTGGGGGTCAATGCACTCTTCCCCTTCTGTCCTTTCTCTTTTAAAGGGCCACTAGGGAATTGGAAGAACATCTCATGTTCTGGTCTTCTTCAAGCTCCCTCCTTGGTACCTGGGAGCCTGGACTTTTTTCAAAATATCTGGACAATACCTATGGGCCAAGAAGTCTCTGGCGTGACTTTGTTGAACATCACCTAAGTATTGTATTCCACCTCCAGGAAGGAGAGGTTTGTGCACCTAAGTGCTCCCCATTGCGTGCATGGCTGGAAGACCCCATAAAGGGAAGACCTCTTTTTCTACTGTATTATCAGCAGAAAGCACATATGGAGATCCTGCTGCATGTACTCCCTATTGTGGATAGAGTACATGTAGCTGTTTGCAGACACTGATCATCTGGATCTAATCCTTCTTCTCTGGCTGATTTGCAGCCTCTTGAGGAGGTTTCTCCTGATCCTTCCCTGGTTCTGACCCCCTCCAGGTGTTCATTATTAGCTATTCGTCTATGATTTCTGTCTCATTCCACAACTGTGGATGTTCATTGGGCCGGGATGGGAATCATATTCTGTTTTGGGTTACGCAGGCAATGTAGAGCTTTCTTTATCAGGCCCCAGAGATACTTTTTGGGTGTTTTTGGTAGATGGGTTTTGCTCATCCTTCTCCTTTTTCTTATGTTTATATTAATCAGTCTGGGTATAGTGTACCTTCACAACTGTCTGTATTTTAAAAGACACCTCCTGAGCACCCTACCTCTCTTAACCAAACTGACTTCAGGATTGGTACCACTGGGTTGTTGCCAGTCTCGTTTTTTTTTTTTTTTTACTATCACCACTGTTCTTTTTTTTTTTTTTTTTTTTTTTTTTTTTTTTTTTTTTTATGACAGTGTTACATTGTTGGTCCAATATTCCTTGTCAGGCAGTTGCCTTGTTTTTGTTGATGTTTTTGAGCTGGTTCTGGTTTAGCAATGTTTCAGGTGGAATTGTTCCCTTGGCGGTGAATTCTTTCGTCCTTTTCTGAGCACCAGACTGATTCTCTGTAGCCTTTCATGGTCATTCGCAGCTTTTTCCTGTGTTAATTTTCATCTGTTTCAGATTCAGGTATTCATCCTTCTGGTAGTCCTATGGAACAGTTCCTGGTCCCTTCTGGTTCTGCTAATTACTGTTGCCCACTCCTTAGTTGGACATCTTTTAGACATGGCAACTGTTTATGAATTCCTTTGTCCCACAATGAACGATGAAGAAAATAAGATTACTACACTTACCATAAAATCTATTTCTTCTAGTCCTGAGCCCTGTATTAATGTGTTTTTATTGGTCCAATGTGCTATTCTAGGTGTGGACACCTCATGATACCTAAATAGGAGATCAAATCAGGTTGTGTCTTGCAACCTTTAGGCTGTTTTGATCTATTTCTTCATTTTTGCAATTGAAAGATGGGTGAAAGTTATTTCCTTATGATGGCTTAGAATGCAGAACTTAAAGCAAATTTATGGCACGATTGCCGTTCTGCAGTAAAAAAGTCCTTCTTTCATTAATACTGGATAGTGCAGCTATCGTAATACTTTGGGCTGCTTTTGGCTATGGAAACTGCAGCTCTTAAAAATAGAAACATTACTGTTGGTTATCCGCCCCTCACCCCTTGTCTATTCATAGAAAACCTTGTATTCTTAAAGTTCAACTTTTGAAAAATAAACAAATACATATCTTTTTGCAGGTAAGAAAATGTGTGTTTTATTTTTTTTTACGTTGCAGCCTGTAAGGCATTGCGGGTGCAATGCCTGTATCCTGCAGACTCTGTCAGCTGTCTATACGGGCAGGCAGTTACTGAATGGCAGGAAGAATTAATGAACTATGAGAGTACTCACCAGCACCCTCACATTTCATTGAGAACTACAAGCCTTCTGCCACAAAGTGTACTTGTAGTCTGTTCAGCCCCAGGAAACTGTGAATGAATGATGTAGCCGTGTCAGTGGAGCCCTGCATAACTGTGTTGTTTTTGAATTGTGACAGCTGTTGCAGGGAGAAGAATCCCCACCTGCTGTCAGAGAGGAGCGCTGGTACTCTTATAACATGTGAACAAGGTGAACTTATTCTTTAAACCAGTGGTCTCCAAATTTATTAAGCATAGGGACAGTTTACTGTCCTACAGACTTTAACCACTTCCCGACCGGCCGTCGGCCGTATAAAAACGGCCTTCCCGCACCCTGCTTGTGCGCGCTCCCTGGGCACTCCCTGGGTGCCCGCTGTGTCCTCCGGACACAGTGAAACACCGATCGTCGGACGGGACCTCTGTACAAGGTCCCGATCATGTGATCACTGATTGACCAATCAGTGATCACATGCAAAGTAGTAAGCAAGATGTCACTTGTGACATCATTGCTTACTACGTGTGAAATCTGTGAATGATCACAGAGGTCACATGGTACAAGCCTATTCACAACAGGCTTGTACCATGTGCCAAGCGGAGACCAATCACAGCTCAGTCAGTACTTCTCAATGAGTGCATGAATGCACACAGAGAGAAAGAGAAATTATTGCTTTTACATTCTATATGGTTGTAAAAGCAATGTGTAAAAAAAAAAAAAAAAAAAAAAAATCTTCATCACCCCCCACAAGTAGTACAGTGTCACCATGGTGACACTGTACTGCTAGGGTGACAGTATGTAAAAAAAAATTAAAAAAATAAAATAAAAAAAAATGTAAAAAAAAATGTTTAAAAATTATAATTTTTGTTATAAACTAATTTGGATTTTTTTTTTTTTTTACTAAAAAGATAACGGAATAAATTTTGGCAAAGATTTATGATGAAATATTATTTATTTGCAAAATTTTATAAAAAAAACCACTTTTTTTCAAAATTTTTGGACTTTTTCATTTACATAGCAAAAAAAAATAAAAATCCCAGCGCGTGAATAAATACCACCAAAATAAAGCCTTATCTGTTTCAAAAAAATGGTAAAAAATTAATTTGGGTACAGCGTTGCATGACTGCGTAATTGTCATTCAAAGCGTGATAGCGCTGAAAGCTGAAAATTGCCCTGGTCAGGAAGGGGGTAAAAGTGTCCGGTCTTGAAGTGGTTAACCACTTGCCTACCAGGCACTTATACCCCCTTATTTACCAGGCCAATTTTCAGCTTTCAGCGCTGCCGCACTTTGACAATTGCGCGGTCATGCAACATTGAAATATGAACATATGAAATTTTAATCAATTTTTTCTCACAAATAGAGCTTTCTTTTGGTGGTATTTAATCGCCACTGGGCGCTTTACTTTTTGCGCTATAAATAAAAAAAGTGCAAAAAATTTGAAAAAAAAAAAAGTTTCTTTGTTTCTATTATAAAATTTTTCAAACAGGTATTTTTTCTCCTTCACTGATGTGCGTTGATGAGGCAGCACTGATAGGCGGCACTGATGGGCACTGATAGGCAGCACTAATGAGGTGGCACAGATAGGCGGCACTGATAGACAGCACTAATTAGGTGTCACGGATAGGCGGCACTAATATGCAGCACTGATAGGCGGCACTGATAGGTGACACTGATGATGGGTACTGATAGACGGCACTGACTGGCATCACTGCTGGGCACTGACTGGCGGCACTGACTGGCACAACCCCTGGACACTGACTGGTGGCACTGACTGGCAGCACTGCTGGGCGGGCACTGGTGGGTGGGCACAGGTGGGTGGCACTGGTGGACACTGGTGGACACAGGTGGGTGGCACTGCTGGGCACAGGTAGGTGGCACTTCTGGGCACAGGTGTGTGACACTGCAGAGTGGCACAGGTGGGTGCACTGCTGGGCACAGGTGGGTGATCTGATGGGCACAGGTGGGCGGAGCTAGTGGGTGCACTGCTGGGCACAGGTGGGCGGAACTTGCAGGTGGCACTGCTGGGCACCGATCATCAGGGCACTGATCATCAGTGCCCTGATGATCGGTGCCGATCCCCGCTCTGACAACTGCCGGTTCTCGGCAGTACTTTCCTCACGATCTGACAGCGTGAGGAAAGTGCAGCCGAGAACCGGCACTTGCATTTCCCTCTGATCAGCGTGTCATTGGACACCGCTGATCACGTGGTAAAAGGCCGCTGTGATTGGCCTTTTACCACATCACGTGATCAGCTGTGTCCGTAGGACACAGCGATCACGGAGATCGCCGGGTGCGCGCCCCAGCGCGTTCTGGGAGGACGTCATATGACGTCCACTCAGAACTGGCCGGCCGCAGTGAAGCCGTCATTCGGCTATCTGCGGTCGGCTACTAGTTAAGGGGGCTGGAACGGAAAATGTCCCAGAATCAGTGGGAGTAAACAATGCCCCATTTTTGGTGTCAGTGAGAGGAATTGTGCCCCATCGTTGGTGTCATTTGGCCCCACTGTGGGTATCATTGGGATGAACTGTGCCCCATCATTGGTGGGAATTGTGCCCCATCGCTGGTATCATTGGGAGGAATGTGTCAGTATCAGTAGATTAAATAGTACCCCAAGGGCATATAAAATCAACCAAAGGACCTCATCTGGACCCCGGTCCACAGTTTGGAGACCACTGCTTTAAACCATTCGTAGAATACAAGGAATTCTGTGAATGGACAAGTGGGCAGATAAACAGCTTCTTTGTATGAGAGCTGCAGCGGCTTGAAAGTACAGATATAGCTGGTACTATTCAGCATTAATGAAAGTGTGAATTTTACATTACATAGTACAATGCTTAAAGCGGAACTATACTCTCCTCCGCTCCAGTGATGCAATGTCTTGGAGCTCACTGTACAGGGGCATGCACAACTCGTTGTACAGGGGTGAACATACAGGTGGACCATTTTAATGCAGAAGAGACCGCATGCTTCTTTTGCATTAAAAATCTTGCCCGTTTGCTCATTTTTGTTTTGACTATAAAGTTCTACTTTAACCATAAAAAGAGATTAGATAGTGGATTACACTGAAAATTAATATGTTATTGGTTATTGTTCACCAAGTCATTTTACTGATGTGTGAAATTGAAAAGCATATGCTATGTTTTACAGAGCTCAACATTTGGCAGATATTCTTACAGCTAAAGGTTTCCCAGCTGTGTGTATATCAGGTAAGTGTGGATTATTCATTTTACCTTTATCTGAGTTTATACTTTCTGTATATTTCAGGCATCTGTCCAATATTTAAAATGTTATTGGGGGTGTGTGGTGGTTTTATTATATGTAAGAGCACAATTGCCTCATGGAATAGAATCAACCAGTATGTTTTATAGTTTTACCACCAAATCACTAAAAAATGCATTTATTTTATCTCAGGATATTTTTCTCCCACATTTGGAATACATTGAAATGCTTTTTGGTTTACTGAAAAGTTGCACTACTCATCCTAATGACGTCTAGGATCATCACCTTGATAGACATTGAAACATTGTTTTGATTCTGTAGAATAGAAAATTTATGGTTCGTACGCTCAGATTCGGTACAGGATCACTTTTTATTACATGGACAGTGCTGCTCTATTTGTAACTTTGGGACAGGATGTGAAGGCTTCCCCGTATAGTTTTCTAAGGGGCACTTGATGTTTTCTCCAGACCTTGGCCATGGAGCCGTTTCCTGCCCTACATAACTTACATAGTTAGACAGTGGGTGTAAAGGGCTTCCAAATGGAGGCTCTCAAGGAGAAATTGTTACAGTGAGGTTTGTATCCAAATGGAGTCAGCCCTTCCATGGAAGCAGCTTCATAGATAGTTGACACATTTTGGGTATTCTCAAGTATACCAATCTGGAAAAATCCCTGCTTTTTCATGTTGTCTCTGTAGTTGGAGACTGCTTTTGGACTTCCTTGTAGTGGGTAAACTATTTTCAGGAGGTATTCAAAACAAAATGTATATTTTCTGGGTAGTGTCCCCCCCCCCCCCCCCCCCCCCCACAATTGCCAATTCTAGGTGTTCCCTTAGCAGATCTTTTTGAGTTCAGGTTCAATTCAAATTGAAAAACCAACATACCCCTTGCTCATGGAGGATTTGAAGTAACTCATAGGTGCAGTATCTTTCATCTTGCTTGAGGTGATTGTAGCTGTATTAGTGCACTTGCGACAGAAACAATTGAGTACTGACGTGATACTTTTTTTATTTGCACTAACACAATTTTCAGGACAAGCTTTTTGGGTATGTCCCCTTCTTCAAGGTCCAAGCAGTACTACTTCACAAAGTTTTAGCAGAATGTTAAAACAAACAATCTCTGAGGGGGTAAAATTAAAAATAAAGCAGAAAAAAACATAGAAACAAATGTACACAGCAATGGTTATACAACTAGGATTAGACTAGAGATAAGACAGACTAGTAATTCATAGGGAAATTCCTCTTCCGTTTACTTTAGCTACAAATGTTTGAGTAAAATTTCAGCATATACTGCATAGAATGAACTCCAGTCTTCACTCTGTCGCAAGTGTCATAAAACATGATAGTTCGTTCTGTCATTCATGTGGTTTGGCTGTGTCATCTGACCCAAACATTCTGATCCAAATTGATTACTAATTTCAATTGGGAGTGACTGTGGTTGTTGGGTTTAAACCAATCTCTGGTTTTGCTGGGGTTGACTGAAAATAACTACATATAACCTGTTGTTTGTTTTTTTAGCTTGTACTGAGCAAGAAGTGAGTGGAAAGCCTCCTAGTATTAATACCTGGACTGACACCATTAAAGTGGCAGTAAAGTCTTCTTGCTAGAAGCAGAAATTGACCCCTCCTGCAGGTTTAAGTCATCATATATAGCCCTGCATATTAGAACATTATGACAGACTTGCCTACAAACGGAAACCTCCAGAGCTGCACTGACACATTTCTCCCTCGTCCCCAGAGGCTTCCATCTTCACCCTGGTCACCCTTCTAGGTTTTGTATCCTCAGACACTTGAATTGCTGGGCCATGGTGACATGACTCCCGTGATTGGGCACAGGAGTCACATCGCTGTGGCACACAGAACAGGCTGTAAATGTGGTCTGAGCTGTGCATGTGTGACTCAGATCAGAATTGCCTGCTGACGGAGGACATTTATGAGAAAAGAAACCTCTAGGGCTGGGGTCTCCAAACTTTCTAAACAAAGGGTCAGTTTAATGTTCTGTAGACTTTAGGGGGGCCGGACTGTGGCCACTGGAAGTAGAAAAGGTCCCAACATCAGTGGGAAAAACCAATGCCCCATCTTTGGTGTCAGAGGGAGGAATTGTGCCCCACCGTTGTTGTAAGTTGGAGGAATTGTATCCCATTGTTGGTGTCATTGGGAGGAATTGTGCCCTGTCATTGGAGGGGGGGGGGGGGGGGGACGACATTGTATCCCTTCATTGGTGTTAGTGAGGGTAATTATGCTCTATAGGTGGTATCAGTGGATGAAACGGTGTGCCCCAGGGGCTGGATAAAAACAAGCAAATGGCCCTGGGCCTCAGTTTGGGAAACACTGCTTAAGGGTGGGTCTCTTTTGTTATAAAAACCCTGTCTGTCCGTGGTGTTTGTAATCCATAACTTACTACCACTTTAATAATCACTTTCCTTAAATAAAATTACATATGTGAGCTTCAGTTGTTACTTCAATCCAGTGCAATCATAGTGTGACTAAATTTTCAACTTTATCATCCTGCTTAATTAAAAATTTGACATACCTGTTAAAGTCTGCAGTTAAATAATCGTTTTTGTTTTCTCTGGCAGGTAGTATGAATCAAAACCAGAGACTTGATGCAATGTCCAAACTTAAGCAGTATCATTGTCGCGTTCTGATTTCAACTGATCTTGTAAGTAGTTAGACTGGTTCACAGGCTTGTTTATATTTGACCTGAATAGAACATTAACATGCAAATTATAGAAAAATATAATCAATTTTGAACTCCTATGTGAGGTGTCTGATGTAGCAGACTGTGTGTTCCCTTCTAGAAATCACTAAGTTCTCCTATTCCTATTGTCGGGGTAGGTTACGACACTTCTTAATGAGAGGAAAAGCAGGCTGTCTTTCTTCTGTCAGGCACTTCATACTTGAGGCCTTTTGACATATGACCATTAAGTTGCAGAATGTGCTATAAATTAAACTTCTTGTGTTTCTATAATATATAAGATATAAAATAATGTATACATTAAGTGTAAGAAATCTATAAAAAAGTCCAATCCACAAGGTTTGAGGTACATAGGGAATATGCTCCTCTCCCACGGATCCACAGTACTGGTATAAATGTCACAAAAACCGCCAAGAGGAGAAAGAGGAAGAATCCTTCACTACCACCAAACACACTACCTCTTACCAGATGGTAATGACCCCCGATTAACAATGGGTCAAAATGCGTTGTATGATCCCAGGGACAAGCCATAGACCTAGGCACTCATTAAATCCAGATCTTCACACTAAATGGACTCAAGGATGAACCTAAAAAAGTATTATCCTCATAGAGGACAGTCCAATTCAAGATGTCGTGCATATTTATAGGGACAAGGAATCCCCCTCTCTCTCTAATTAAGCGGATACCGGAAAGAAACCTGGACACAAACCCCAGGAACACAACAGCATATCCTGTCCCTATCAAATTATTTGATAACTACAACCTAATTAACAATTGGGAAACCTCTTAAAAAATCCAATTAAGGAAAACACTAATCCAGCCATCATATGAATAAATTAAAAAAAAAAGCATTGTGCTGCCGATCGCAGCGCCATCTTGTGGTAGAAAAATATGACAATTTGCAATAAATTCTATAGTAATAATCATGAAGAATATATAATAAAATACAAATAAATAAATATAAAGTGAATCTTAACATAAATTGACATCCTATAATGACACAAAATATTGTGAGCGAAAAAAAAAACTACCAAGAGACATTCAACTGTTGATAAATGCATTCATATCCCTCTTAATGTTAAGCCTATGTGGTGTGTAAGATTTTAAAGTGTAAATCCACCAGGTTTCCAGTTTTGAAATCTCCTGTTTTTAATATAACTACCCCTCCAATTCTTAGAAAATGTATCAATACCCATAAATGGGGTTCCCTCAGGATTCCTACCATGATGCAGGGCGTAGTGTTTGGCAGAAACATAGCATGAAAAAAAGGTTTTCCAAATCATAGTATCTCCAGAGTCCTACACCCTTCCCTTCTGTGCCAGGAAGAAAGAGCCTGCAATCAGTGGGTCGTGGATACAATGCCAGGTTTCTGCAAGCACTGCCGTACCTCTGTACAGGCAGACAATTACTGAGCTGCAGAAAGTGTCCGTGGACTACAAGATCACTGGTCAGTGCTGTCATAGTCCATTGAGAACTGAAAGTCCATCTGCCATGATGGGAGACAGGACATGTATTTTATTATTATTTATTTATTTCAGGTATTTGTATAGCGCCGTCAATTTACGCAGCACTTTTACATATATATTGTACATTCACATCAGTCCCTAACCCTCAAGGGGTGTACAATCTATGTTCCCTAACTCACATTCATACATACATATGCTAGGGATGATTTTTGAGAGAAGCCAATTAACCTACCAGCATGTCTTTGGAATGTGGGAGGAAACCGGAGAATCCGGAGGAAACCCACGCAGGCACGGGGAGAACATGCAAACTCCAGGCAGGTGGTGCCGTGGTTGGGATTCGAACCAACGACCCTAGTAGTGCCAGGCTGAAGTGCTATCCATTTAGCCACTGTGCTGCCCTAGATTGCTGTAAATGATGTGGCTGTGTCGGAGTCCTGTACAGCCCTGCTAATTTTAAATGCGTCAGCAGCTGCAGGGGAGAAGAACCTTTACCAGCAGTAACAGCGCGAAGGAGCTGATAATTACTAACATATTTGAGTTTTCCCCCTAAATACGTGTGTAACATGCTGGCCCCAGTTAAAGTGATTCTAAAGGCTCAAATGTTATTTTTTAAAAATGTTATACTTACCTGCTCTGTGAAAAGGTTTTGCACAGAGCTGCCCTGATCGTCCTCTTCTTGGGTCCCTAGCTGGTGTGCTGTCCTACACCAGGGCAACCAATCTTTGCTGCATAATGGTTTTTGATTGTAGTATTGCGGTACTGCTTCATTTATGTAAATGATGGATCATTGGACCATTGAGTTAGGAGATAGATCTGATCTGGGTCTGGTCACCTTTCTTGTCTGTAATGCCTTCAGTTTAATCTGTCTTCTGGTGTATGCGTGTTTGCTCACTTTTTAACAATCTGATGAACAACCAACATTCTTCCAACTTAGTGATTTTCTAGTGTTAGGCGATTTCATACATGGTAACAGTTTATCCTTTTTTAAACTTAGACTTCTGAAGATATTAAACTTTCCTTTGCCTTCTCAGTATTTAAGTTCAACTTTTAATTCTGTCAGTGAAAACTACAAGCAAAAAAAAACCAAACCAAAACCTTTCAGTGTGCTTACATTCTGACTTAGACATAGGTGATTCTCAGAAGTAATTCCATAGTAATAATATAGACAATTGCTTCAGTCAAAATAGTTGTCAGCATTTCTGTTTTTACCAGTGTATATGATACAGTTGCAAATAAACTTTTTATATTTTTAAGACTTCCCGTGGAATTGATGCAGAGAAAGTGAATCTGGTTGTAAACTTGGATGTTCCGCATGACTGGGAGACCTACATGCATCGAATTGGTAGAGCTGGAAGATTTGGTAAACGATACGACAGCAAACATGATTTTAAGACCTGACCACAATTGTTTAAACTTGACCATAACGGCCTAATGATAATCGATCTGAGCATATCAATATGCTATATGCAGAACATGATGTATTCTAAGTACCTTAAGAAGTGGTTAGGGCTTTTTTTTTTTCCTATTCTAAAATGTTCCATGGACATGTATGTCTTTATCCCTTAGATTAGGCTAACTAGATCCTGAATTATTTATCTTTTCCTCTAAATCTACATAATTGCCCTGGTTTATGTAAGTGTGTCAGATGGGCCTTGTGATTTAATTTGACAAGCATATTTTGAAAGCAGTGAATATGACGTTCATCATTAAGAAGAAAGTCATTATTGGGTGAAACACATCTCTGGACATGATTTTAATGCTTAGCTATGTTCTAAGATTTGTGTGTGCGTGTACCTAACACTTTCTCGATATAAATTTACATATTGTATACAGTATCTTAGTAGTAGAGTGCTGGACCGTTTAATAGCCATTAATACATAAAGTTTGAAGTTCAAGTAATGGTTTTTATTGAATAACTTAAGTTATTAAAGATGCAAGCTTTTGGGATAACTTAGAATACCTTTATACATTGATCTCTGACAAAGTGATTTAAGTTATCTCAAAAGCGTACATCATTAATAACGTATAAAGAATATCACTTGAACGCCAAACTAGTTCACTCTTGAGAAATATATATATTTATATCTCCAAAAACATTTGTAGAGATACTCACAGGTCTTGCACCAAGATAAATTAAAGCAACATCATTTTACTGTCAGCGTTTCAACAGAACTCAGTTTGTCTTAATCAAGACACTTAAAACATAGGGTAAAGGGATTAATAAGTCCTACCTGCCAACAACATCACATAGCGCAAAGATAAAAATAAACACAAATCATCATAGTGGACCAAAAAACAAAAATACTACATCCTAGCTGAAATAAAAGTATCAGAAAATGGCTCCTGCATAAAAATGGCAAAGGCAGAAGTAGAAAAAAAAATACCTATACATAGCACTCACAAGAGGACAACATAATGATAAAGTGCATCAGATAATAAATTACAAAATAGCCACTAAGTAGCCTATGCCATCATAGAAGGGAGAAGTCTGTTGCAGTTGCCATACCACTCATTGTGGTAAGGTCATTAAAAGATATGCGCAAAATGTCCTGACAAGAAAATGCTAACAATAACTACTTGCTGACCGCCCTTCTGCATTTTACCGCGACTCCTGTTTTACTTGGACACTGCAGGATTTTGTCAGCAGGTTTCAGTCAATGATTCATGGCTGAAACCTACTGATTGGCTGTGTTCAAACACAGGGGAGAAGGAATAAACACATATTTACTAAAAAGCTACACACGTTACACATTGTTAGGCACACAGTTGACCCTAGATATTAACCCCTTCCCAGCCAGTGTCATTATTACAGTGACAGTGTATAGTATAATCACTGTATTAGTGTCACTGGTGATGTCAGTTATTGTACTTTCCAGCCAGCACCAGTTAGTATCAGATTGCCCACCCGCACTAATATAGTCCCACTATAAATCACTGATCAATGCCATTACAAGTATAAGAAAATAAAAATTCCAATATATACCATAGTTTGTAGATGCTATAATTTTCACACAAACCAATATATGTAGCCAAATACATTTTTGGTCAAAATGTTTTTATAGCAGAAAGTAAAACAATATTGTTTTATAAAACTATTGGTCTTTTTTCGTTTATACAATAAGTAAAAAATTCAGTTGTAGTCAAATGCTACCAAAACAAATCTCTTTTTATGTGAAACAAATATGATTTTTCATTTGGGTACAGCGTTTCATGACTGCTCAATTACCAGTTATAGTAGCTGAATGCTAAATAACAAATAATGGCTTGGTCTTGAAGGGGGTAAAACCTTTCCGGAGCTCAAGTGGATAAAATGCTTACATCAAAGTACATACAGAGGGGTACTTTTTTTAAACTACATATGTTAGAGCACATGTAAAAAAAATCTCAGCACCATAGACCATGATCGAAAACAGGATGGGAGGAGGAAGGCCCTCCGCACCAGGAAAAAAGTTTACACTAAGACATGCAGTGCCCATCTGGAAACCATAAACTGAGATACATCACACCACACAGGAAATCAATCAAGCTTTGCACATAAATATCTAAATATGTCAAAACACAGCAATCAGCACATATATGTTGGGGAACTTTGTAAAGCTATTTTACCCATAGCAGCTTGATAACAATGTTCTTTTGTTAACAAAAGAACATACATTCCACATAATTTATTAATTCTACCAAAATTAGTGTGTGCTGTAAATTGCCTCCAGTATTGCTCCCATTTTAATTTCTCCTGTTTCCTCTTGCTGGAGGATGGCATTTTGTTGAAGCCCAGAACAGTCATGTACTTATTGAAAATGCACTCCCTTTACTTGGTCCCGAAAACTATATGTTGTTTTCAGTATGCAGATTATCCTGTCATTGTTCCTTCTTTTCTTTTCTCGTTCCCTAATCTCTGTTCCCTCTGTACAGTCTAAGTCAGTCCTGTAGCTTCCTCCCCCTCAGCAACAGTAAATCTTTAGGCTCTCAGCTGATTGGCCTCTAGTGAATGTGTTACATAGCTATACCTGCAAAAAGAGTTTATTATTCTGTTAACCTTCATGTCTTAGACAGCACTGCTGCTTTGATTTTTCTCCTCTGCAAGACCCGTTGGTGGCTCTTTACCTGTTTTTGGATTTGTGTGGAACATAGCATAATCAAAGACAGAGCACAGCATGGTATATCTAACAGTTTATTTTTGCCCCTCCAGGTACCTATGGTCTATCTGTTTCTTACTGTTGTCGAGGAGAAGAAGAAAATCTAATGATGTCTATAGCTCAAAAGTGCAATCTCCGTCTGCTTCCTCTTCCTGGTAAGAGTTTTTGCTGACTTCAGTGACTTGAATAATTTATAATAGGACAGGAATACAAGTCGGTTGTGAAGTACAAAAGGATTTAGAGTTTGTTTGTTGTTTTTATTTTTTCACATTATTTGTGTTACAGTATTTTCCGGCGTATAAGACGACTTTGTAACCCATGAAAATCGTCTCAAAAGTCAGGGGTCGTCTTATACGCCGGTATACGGTGTCGGGCAGCACTTTTTAGGGGGGCGGCGGCCCCCTCCAACGGAAGGGACACTTAAGTACAGGGGCGGGCAGGGGGCTGCTATTTCTTACTTGGCTCCGGTCCCAGTCCCACGACGACCCAGTCCAGGAGGCACGGCTGCTCCTTCATTCAGTTTGGCCGCTCCCTCACTAGATGTTCGCGTGGGCGCATGGCTCCGCCTCCTCACCAGTGATTGGGCGCCAGAACTGTAGCTCAGGAAAGGCACACAGGCGGCCAATCACCTGCGAGGAGGCGGAGCCGAGCTGCCCCGCGAACTTCGAGTGAGGGAGCGACTGGTAAGTGTGCCGTGCAGATGGTGCTGCTGCAACCACGTATGCTGGCTGCAGCAGCACCATGCGGGAACAGGGGTTAGCAAGTGTCATTGAGAGGAATAGTGCCCCATCATTGGTGTCACTGATACTAATGATGGGGCATTATTCCTCCCACTGACACCAACGATGGGGCACTATTCCTCCCCCCACTGACACCAACGATGGGGCTCTATTCCTCCTCCCACCCCCCCCCCCCCCACTGACACCAACGATGGGGCACTATTCCTCCCCTCACTGACACCAATGATGGGGTACTATTCCTCCCACTGACACCAATGTTGGGACACTATTCCTCCCATTGACACCAATGTTGGGACACTATTCCTCCCATTGACACCAATGTTGGGACACTATTCCTCCCACTGACACCAATGAGGGGGCACTATTCCTCCCACTGACACCACAGACGGGTCACCATTCCTCCCACTGACACCAATGACGGGTCACCATTCCTCCCACTGACACCAATGACGGGTCACGATTCCTCCCACTGACACCAAAGATGGGGCACTATTCCCCCCACTGACACCAAAGATGGGGCACTATTCCCCCCACTGATACCAATGATGGGGCACTATTCCCCCCACTGATACCAATGATGGGGCACTATTCCCCCCACTGATACCAATGATGGGGCACTATTCCCCCCACTGATACCAATGATGGGGCACTATTCCTCCCACTGATACCAATGATGGGGCACTATTCCTCCCACTGATACCAATGATGGGGCACTATTCCTCCCACTGATACCAATGATGGGGCACGATTCCTCCCACTGATACCAATGATGGGGCACGATTCCTCCCACTGATACCAATGATGGGGCACGATTCCTCCCACTGACACCAATGATGGGGTACTATTCCTCCCACTGACACCAATGTTTGGACACTATTCCTCCCATTGACACCAATGAGGGGGCACTATTCCTCCCACTGACACCAATGATGGGGCACCATTCCTCCCACTGACACCAATGATGGGGCACCATTCCTCCCACTGACACCAATGATGGGGCACGATTCCTCCCACTGACACCAAAGATGGGGCACTATTCCCCCCACTGATACCAATGATGGGGCACTATTCCTCCCACTGACAGGGCACGATTCTTCCCACTGACACCAATGATGGGGCACTATTTCTCCCACTGACAGTGATGGAGTACTATTCCTCCCACTGACACTAATGATGGGACACTATTCCTCACACACTGACACTAATGATGGGACACCATCATTGGTGTCAGTGGGAAGAATCGTGTCCCATCATTGGTGTCAGTGGGAGGAATAGTGCCCCATCATTGGTGTCAGTGGGAGGAATAGTACCCCATCATTGTAATACCATACTGAAATACCATACCATATTGAAATAAAATCTGTTAATTTTTCATTTGTATTTGGTGTGCGTTGGAAGAGGGGTAGTCTTATACGGCGAGTATAGCACAAACCCTATATTTTAACAGGAAAAGTAGGGGGTCGTCTTATACGCCGGAAAATACGGTATTTCAAAATAAGCCAGTTGATACAAATGGCACTATTGCTTTTATTGCAGCTGATCAGGTTTTTTTTAGTGCAGGCTATACAATGTAATAACCTCATTAACTTCGGTGAGTGATATTTTTCTATTTCTTTTCTATCATTCTTTTTTCCTGCATATTTGCTTGACATGGATGTATTTATGATCAGTTTGGCTTAATTGCTGCAGAGAAAAACAGAAGATACATAATTTAATGAATTTGTACCTCTTAAGGACTCCCACTGGAAGATTTTTTTTTTTTTTGAGTTCCCTGATTTGTCAACTTCCATTATGAAGTCTTGCCCCTGCTTTAGCATCATAGCATTGGATGTGGCATTGATCTGTAAACTCTGTCTTCTAACCCGAGAGATGTAAAATGCTGGAGATTGAACCCACTATCTACCCAACTAAGAACGTATGCAAGATGTTTGGATAGTTCAACTGTTTAATCTATGATAACACTATTCCACTGGAAAAGCTACACATTGCATTCCTTTATCTGAATATGTTTTTGTACATGCATTGTAATTTGATAAAGCTATAGCTTCAGTTTCTTTTGGACTGTCCCTTGTCACTATTTCAGCATTGTACTGAACAGAAGGTAGTTGAGCTGGCCTTTGACAGCCTTCTCAAATCTGTTCTGAATTAGCTTGGCCTAAATGGTGCAGAGTTGAAATTTTTATTTTATCTTTACTTTTTATTTCAAGAAAATATAACTTGACAGCTTATGGTAAGATGGGTCAAAAGAAACCAAAATGCCCTCCACTGAACCAGTGTGACACTCAATAGAGCCTTCTTAAAACAGAAGATATTACGTCTTTCATTCTTTCACAAATCCAAATTATAAGGGGATTGTTCATTTTGACATCGTGGAGCCATCTATACCATTCTTGGCCAATTGTACATCCAGAATTGCTGGTTCAGAATATACTGCTAGCTTACAGCACTGCACTCATGCTGGCCTACAAGCCTGAAACAAATGTGGCTTGGAATAAATGACTCTATAACACAAGATTGTATCTTTGCTGTAAACACATTTCCTTTCCTAGTCTTAGGGTTGCACCAATACTGGTATCTGTGCCCATACTAAGCATTTGCACGAGTATCGATACTCATGCAAATGCACAGATACCAGAAGTGATGTCATGGAGGAGAAGCTGGCTTATTTCTCTGTCATGCAGCTTCCACTGCTCAGAGCTAATCCCATTGAAGTGGGTTGTGGTGTCCCCCTCCGCGGTCTGTTCTCTGATATTCCCACATATTGGTTCCTGGAGGAAGGAGAGCAGAGGAGACAGCAAGTCTTCCCTGTCTGCTGACATCTCTCAGCCTGCCATGTGCATCATATGTGTATCTGTATGAGCATCTGCTTATTAGGTGTCTGTGGATACCTGCTATCTGGGTTTATGGTGTGTATGGGCATCTGTCTGGCTGTACTGTGTATATGGGCATCTGCTATCTTGCTGTACGGTATATATGGTCATCTATCTGGGTGTACAGTGTGTATGGTCATCTGCTATCTGGGTGTACGGTGTTTATGATCATCTGCTATCTGGGTGTACGGTGTGTATGGTCATCTGCTATCTGGATGTATGGTGTGTATGGTCATCTGCTATCTGGGTGTATGGTGTGTATGGTCATCTGCTATCTGGGTGTATGGTGTGTATGGTCATCTGCTATCTGGGTGTATGGTGTGTATGGTCATCTGCTATCTGGGTGTACGGTGTGTATGGTCATCTGCTATCTGGATGTATGGTGTGTATGGTCATCTGCTATCTGGGTGTATGGTGTGTATGGTCATCTGCTATCTGGGTGTATGGTGTGTATGGTCATCTGCTATCTGGGTGTTTGGTGTGTATGGACATCTGCTATCTGGGTGTACTGTGTGTATGGACATCTGCTATCTGGGTGTACGATGTGTATGGGAAACTGCTATCTGGGTGTATGGTATGTATAAGCATTGCACTAATACCACTGTCAGCTGAAATGTAAAGAAAGAATACTGACTATTCTAAAAATAGGTATTGGTAATTGGTATCGGAGAGTACTTGAAAAAAAGTATCGGTACTTGTACTTGGTCTTAAATTAGCATCGGTGCATCCCTGCCTAGTATGTTTGCATATCTTCAGTGTCTTAGAAATGTGAGTAAAAAGTTGGTGTTGTTGATAGCTCTACGTTAATCGTGTGAAAAATGGGTGCTATATCCCTTTAAGTGCATATATAGTAGTAATTCTTAAAGAGGAACTCCACTCAAAAGGGGAAGTTCCACTTTTCCTCCTCCTCTCCCATTTTTAGGAGTGTCTTTTGGAGGGGGAGGAGGGGAGCAGTTATCTGATTTTTGACAGGTACCTGTTCCCACTTCTGCTCCAGCCCCCTAATGGAGCAGAAGTTCTTCCTCCCCCCAGCACCCCCCTTTCCCCTGTAGCCTCATGGTACATGTTGGAGGTCCCAGGAGACTGCGGGACCAATCATGGGGCACGGCAAGGCTCGCACATGTGCTGTGGGCAGCTTGCTATGAAGCTGCAAGAAGTCACAGTCAGCTGCCCACAGTTAGGATGACGACGCCTGGACCCAAAGACAGAACGAAGAGCTGGGACAGGTAAGGTGAGTCAGCAGCTACAGTATTTACTTTTACATTTTTGTTTACAGAGTGAACATCCTCTTTAAATCCATAATAAATATTGACCCATATATCAGATTAACTTTTTCAAAATATGTGATGAATAATGAACCATGATTCTTTGAAAAAATGTGAATAAAGTGCATTAAATGTGAATTACTCCATTATGAACCATTCTAAATAATATGATGTGACACTGCAGTGATATTACTATGCTGAGGACCTTCCATAATTCAGAGGTCTTCCCTTTTTGTTAGGAAGCCTGTGCACTTGGTGTGGGAGCATTGAAGTGTTGTGATTGAAGTAGATATTCTCATATCATATTATTTAGAATGGACTATTAGTGGTCACACTGGACTGGTTCATGAATGAGCACGATTTATTCATATTTTATATGGTTCATTATTCAATACACATTTTTTTTAAATAATTTGATATATTGTTAAATATTCACTTGATTTAATAATCACTGTTGTATATGCTCTTAAAGAGACAGCACAGCTATTTTTTCACTTATTCTTTATTTAGTATTCAGATGTTTTTGAGTACTGCTGTTTCTAAACATTTACACTGCGTGCAAAATGTATTATTTGTATATGTTAAAAATATTTAGCTTAGGGCCTATCCTTAATTTCACTTAAGTGTAACATAAATCTTCTTTTACAGATCCAATTCCAGATGGATTGATGGAGGAGGCCTGTGATTGGGATATTGAAGTTACTCCAGCAAAGGCTACATCTGACCATTTAACTGCTTATAAAGGTATACCTTCTGAATTCAAAGAAGATGATGTGGTAAAAGATAATTTTGATTGCAATCCTTATCAAGAACAATCCATGAACAAAACTGTTTCAAAAGCTGTTCAACGTAAGCCTAAAAAGGCTATCAAAAAGAAGACTACAGAGGGAGCCAGTTCAGAGGGACTACCAAATGTAGAGACTTCTAGTTTACCTAAGAAACTGAAAGATTCCAGCAAGCCTACAGAAACGGTAGAGAACATGGGAATTGACAGCGGAGTTCAGGACGTGCTTGAAAGTTCACTACCTAAAATCCCAAGCTTATCATCGTTCAAGCGTCCTGTGGTTTGCACAGCATCCTTTGCTGAACTTGTTGAAGATTATGAGCGGTTTATTAAAGAAGGACTTGAAAAACATGTAGAAGTCATACGTGTGTATACTGGTAGTGGTAGCTATACAAACGCTCAAACAGCTAAGAAACTGGAAAAAGAATCTGTGTTGGTGCCTTCAGAAACTGCTAGTACCTCTGAAATACATGATCTTAGTGGGAATTCAGATGATAGGATTGATAGTAGTTTATCCAGTTCTTTATTAGAGAGTGATAGTGAAGAATCTACTCTGTCACAAGGGAATTTGAGGTCTATGGAACTTTCGAGCTCTTGCCCAGATCTCTTCACTGAAAGGACAGATGGTGCGGATGCTGGCCAATTAAATGTAAAAGGTTTCAACGTGTCGCTAGAGGAAGTGCAGCAGTCAAGTTTAGTCAAAGCTAAAGCTCAATGTTGTGTTGAGGAGCCCATTTTCAGTAATGTAATTAAGCCTAGAAAACGGGGCAAAAAAGTAACCCATATTAACAGAAGAGAGCTTTGCCAGGAAATTCGGGATGATATGTACCAGCTGGACTATAGAAATCCCTCTGGATTTCCATATGGCACAATGAGCTATGCTGACTATTGGCGATCGTATTATCAAGCATGGCAAACATACCACTCTGCGATTTCTAGTTCCTATTACAGGAAATTGTACAAATGCTCCAACTGGATGTCTGCATATCACATGCATTCTGTCTACCTTCATGAAATGCTAAAGCCATGATTACTCTTCTTGTTGCCAAAGTAAACAAACCATTTTTATAATGGACCATTTTTTTTCCTTTCTACAGTTCAACAGATTAATACTTTGTACATAGAATATGTATGTATGTGTATATTGGTGTGCATATATATATATTTTTTGCTGAATAAATTATCTTGTGTAATTCACATGTGCATGATTAGGCTGTTAGGTAAATGTATTTAACGGTTATAGCCAAGAAACTTAGGTCTGCTTTACAAGGTATTCCGTATCAACTATAATATGGGCATTATGTAGTAATGAAACACTGCTCCCTCTTGCTTTCAAACACCCTAAAATGCAAGTTATGGACAGTCAAAAATATCACCTCAGCTTGCCATGGCTATGCTGGAAAAAAATTTTATATATTTTTTTCTTAAAATGTGTGCTAAACAAGCATATATAATCTCTGAACTGTATCACCATCTACAGTATACTGTATTTTATAGATGTTTTCTCCAGCAGTAGAGCTCTAAGGCTGTCTCCCATGAACTTCTATGTCTCATTCATTAACCATTTGTCTTTCCAAGTGAGTTACATTTACAAGTATTGAAATATCGTTATATGGATTCTACAGTTCTTTTTGAGGGTCTTCTGTTCTAAAAGTTACTTCAAACATTTATCATAAGCATTGTTTATTGTAACATCTAGTTTTCTGTGTAGCCAGTCCTTAGGTCTGGCATTGCTCCAAAGTCTGGGGTGCGTGACCACCTTTATGTAGAAAAACTTTGATAAAGTCACTTTTGCTTTCTAACTACACTTTCATTTCAACAGCTTGTTCAAGAAAAAAACCCTCCCCTTTGTGGGCCTGGTTTGAGATTTGATCTTGTGGGCAGGGAATATTTGGAATTTGATAAGTGATGATGGAGGACGTTACACACATTAAGAGAGGTCAATTATTTTTAATGTTTAAGTATTTTGAGCTCTTCTTCATCTTAAGCAATTGAAATAGTGGTTTTATATTTTTTAAAGTCATGTTCAGCTTGATGGACTGATGCATGTTGACAGTGGTATTACTTATAGCATCACTCCCACTACAAAATAATTGTTAGTGTATAGAGACATGGTGAAGTGGACATTATTTTTCTGAATAACAGGTGCATAGCTATTTTCATTGAACTGAATTAACTTGAATTAAATTGAGAAATATGGAAAGTATACCCAGTATAACCCATCCTTACCAGTATGCCTCAGTTTATTTTTAAAAACTATTCTAGGAAAATGGTCATCTTTTCTTCTTCAGGTGCCAACTAAAGGGAACTCAACCATGTTCTATGAACTCAAAAGATAAGCAATTAGTGGCACACTAATGACTTCAGACCACATCCAGCTTTATTAAACTCGCATAAAAGCACACTGTAGCCCTTCGTAAGGCCACCCTTTCAATTTCATCCAATACAGAATTGACCCATAACCTCATTAGCACCATCAATTTTGGCCGGTTCCTTGGCTCTTTTGGGTAAGGTTTTCACTGCAGTCATGCAAGACTTTGGCAAGTCACTTTTTTTTTTTTGCTGTCTCTGACCACAGAGAGGCTACAAGTGTGCACCCAAGCCCTAGCCTACAACTTCTGTATCTGGTCAGCACCTAGTCTTAGCAGCTTCAGAGCCATTGGCCACAGACATTATCTAGTTCTAGGTCCTCATCTGCATTGTGTCTGATTCTGAGTCGCTACAGTCATTGCCAGGTGAGCCTTCTGGTACTACTTTCAAAATGAGAGAGACTGTTTTGGCTCCTATTGGTGTGATGCACACAATTCTGAAACTAGAAAATCTGACTGTTTCCTTCTTCTGTGTGGTTTCCAATCTAGTGTCTTTTAGGGCCCCTACGGCCAGAAAGATCTTTCCATTGTACCTGCTATTTCGGCTCTCTCTACAGAGATTTGAATCATCCTAACAAGCTGCTTTTTCTAACCCCAAAATGCTTGTTACCATGTATCCATTTGGATATTGTGCAAAAGTGGCCAATCCCTATATGGATTTGCCAGTGATCCGCCTTAATAAAATGACTACCATCCTGATAGTTGGAAGCCATTTCTAAAATGCTGTTCTTCCTGGCAGTTCTGCTCTAGTTCATGTTGGCTGTGACTTTACTCTGCCAGACCTTAGATAGAATCTTGCCATGGCTGTGATTGATCCCTCGCTTACAGAATGTGTAGACACAAATGGCTATGGCTTTAAACTTCAGTTGTGACTGTTTATTAGAGGCTTCCTGGCTTATCACCTACATGGATTTTATGTTAGTACACGTATGTAAGACACTGGACTGTGGAACCTGCATTTAACCGCTTCAGCCCTGGAAGGTTTTCCCCCCTTCCAGACCAGGTCATTTTTTGCTATATGGTACTGTGCTATTTCACCTAGTAATTGTGTGGTCATGCAATTCTGTACCCAAACTAAGTTTTTCTTTTTTTTTTCACACAAGTAGAGCTTTCTTTTGGTGGTATTTGATCACCACTGGGTTTTGTTTTACTTGTGATATAAACCAGAAAAAAACAATATTTTCTACTTTCTGTTATAAAATATTCAATGAACTCATAAAGTTAGGCCAAAACGTATTCTGCTACATGTCTGTGGTAAAAAAAAAATCCCAATACATGTAAATTAATTGGTTTGCGTGAAAGTTATAGCGTGTACAAACTATGGTATATATATTGAAATTTATGCAGCTTTTACTAAATAACCCCTTTTGGAAACTAGACACCCCAAAGATTTTATGTGAGTAAATAGATACCAAACTTGACATGCTTTAAAACTACGGCAACAAGCTACGTAAATTTTTAATATCCTTAGGCAATGCTTTGAAAACCTTACAGATTACAACTTTAGATTTACACAGGAGAACTAGTGCTAGAATTGCTGCCCTCGATCTGGCGCTCACAGTGATACCTCACATGCATGGTGCAATCTCTGTTTACATTGTTTACATACCAACACGGGACCGAAGCTTGCGGTGGGGGGGTGTTTGCGGGGGGTCATTGTTCAAAAAATTATTTTGCTTATTTTTTTTCTTTTTTTCATATTGTTATCACAGGAATGTAAATATTCCCTGTGGTAGCAATAGGCAGTGACAGGTACTCTTTTTCTGGGAAATCTGGGGTCAATTAGACTCTAGATCTCTCCTCTACCCTTAAAATGGCACTGTTTATATCTGTTGAAACAGAAATGATGGAATGCTTGGTGCTTCCGTTTTTTTAGACTGTATAGATGATTGGAGCCATTACGGTCCACAATTAACTTTACGGTAATTTGGCAGAACCGTAGGCTGCACTCATGGGTTGTCCAGTGGGATGGGAGAGGTGGGGGGGGACAACGGCCCTTCCCGCTGCTTGTGAAAGCAATCCAGTGGCTAACCCACTAGGATTACTTTACATAAAAGCCAACTGCCAGCTGAAAAAAAAGAACGACATCAGAATGATGCCTTTAGCTACTGGACCAATATGAAGGCAATTAAGTTTTTGTAATGCCTGTGTTGAGGGTTAGGCCCATAAAAGTTTTAATTCTGAAACCATGGTAGGTTTCCATGTGAATTGTCTGGCAAGAGCTGAACTTGGATGGGTGGCGATGTATTGTGTTGTGCGCATAAATTGCTTTGACCCACAATAAATTGATACAAATATTAAGTGAAAAACAATTGAGGGGCTAAACGCTAGTGCTGATCCTGCTAACACTGCCTTTTTAGGGACACTATTCTAAGAAGGCACTAGTATAGTTCTGTTTGCATGCATCAATATATTGATCACAAACACTATACTAATAATGGCGGGGAACAGCGACCTGTAGAATGAGTGCAATAGTGTGTGGGCAAACTAACGCTAGCTGACCCTGGCTGGGAGGGGAGCTAACGGACCCTGGCGCTATCTGATGTCGCTAGTGGCAGTAATAGAGTAATCAGTGAAAAATTCTATACACTGTCCTGATGGCACTGGCTGTGTTAAATGTGGTAATCTAACAGGTGTGTGGGTAAAATGTAATGCTTTTACTCAGTGTGGTGCTCTTTTCTCTCCCTGGACCAAAGAGAAGCGCATGCATGCACTGCATTGCCATAAATCCCAGGAGTTTTGAGGAGGGGCTTGCTCAGCTAAGCACATCCTCCTGCCTGTATTTTAAAAGCGAAGGGCAGATGGATTCCAACAAGTATATGCTACATCAGGGGTGGGCAACTGTGGCCCTCCAACTGTTGGTGAACTACAAGTCCCATCATGCCTCTGCCTTTGGGAGTCATGCTTGTAACTTTCAGTTTTGCAATGCATCATGGGACTTGTAGTTCTACAACAGCTGGAGGGCCATAGTTGCACACCCCTGTGCTACATGGATCATTTGCCCTTACCGAAGTTGGCCACAGCCAGAAGTGCTAGGGGGTGTTTTTCAAAGTGATTTCTCAGTAAAATAAAGCATGGAGACATGGATGGGTGAGTCTGTATTTGAATATTAGAAGCAAATTAAATAGCATTTTTGGTGCTCAGATACAGTGTAGTTCTCCTTTAAGGAACAAACTGTGAAGACTTTTTCCTAGTCTGGTAAGAAATGTCCCTTTCACTTCTCTACTCCTGTGCTCTCCATGCCAAGACCTCCCTAACTTGGCTGTCAGTTCACCTGCAAGGTCTAGGCCTCAATCTGCCAAATGCCAACACATTTGGCAAGTTTGTATATCAGATGATTGGGTGCAGGAGGTAGTATTCCACTAATTCAAACTAGTTTTATTCTGCCTCAAATTCTCACCTTCCACTTTTCTGAGTCTCTGCACAGATTGACATATCTCCATCCAGCTTCTTGGGTCTTTTGGACCAAGGCCCATTTCCTGTGGCAGAATAATTTGGTTTCAGGGGTTCTGCTTCAAGCTTTTTATTTATAAAGGGGCATCTGTCCCATCGTGGATCTCAAAGCACTAAACGTCTTCATTTGAGTTAAAAAAAAAAAAAAAAAAAAAAAATTAGCATGGAATCCACTAGATCTGGTATTGCCTGTCTTATTATTATTATT